AAACCAGGATACCAGCCCAGGGGTGGCTCCAATCACGATGAGCTTGGTTATCACATCAGTCACTAATTATAAAATTCCCTACATGCCTGCCTGCAGCCTAAACTTTTTTGTAGATGTGGTTCCCACTTCTCAGATGTCATTAACTTATGTCAAGTTGGCATAAAACTATTCATCACCACTAAGATAAAACTTTTGTAACATCAATTGTATTGAAATTTTTTATGTGCTATTCATTTGTGTTGAGAGCTGACTGTGACATCTAAAGCCAGTGCCATTTCACATTCACATTTGTTGATTTCTTCTCCTATGAGAACCATCCTTGGGACAGTTATCCTGATTCTGTGACTGAAAGAAAGGGGTACATCACACAGAGAACATAGCATTCCAATCACTGTGTCCTTGAGAACAGCTATTGATAGACTTAAAGTCAGTTATGCAATAGATTATTGTTGTTTATCTCCATGGAAAACTCTATCGTGAGTGTTCAGGAGTGTTTTCTCAGTCATTTCTGCTGAAATTTTGTGAGTTTTTTTAAGAAACTTACTTGAAAAGGAAAACATGGCTATGAAAGATCCTGCTCTGGATAGAACAACCATATAGATGTGTTTGTTCACCTAATCAGCATGGTCAACTGAGTTTGGAAAATTCTTATTGTGAGCACTGATCTGTGCATTATAGGGTATTTGAAAGCAGTATTGTTGTCTACTTACTTGAGATTGGTATAATTTGTGTGCATGTTCACTGAAGAGTGCCATCATTCCTTTTTTTTTTAATGTGACCACTAATGACAGGGTGAGGACTGCTGAGTTTCAATTAAGTTGTGTTAAGAAGTAAAACTGTGAACCCTGTCTTGAGAGAAAAGAAGAGTAAAAGACACTCCTGATTGTTGAGAAAACATTATTATGCAATATAAAGAGAGGTGGTTTCCAAGTCCCATGGACTGAGATCCCTAAATATAGAAACAGAAGCAGAGAAATCATTGTTGATTTTCTTACTATATCTAAGACAAGTTTCTTGCACCATTTGTGCTGAGTGCCTTCTACAGGTCATATCTTCTCCTATATTGAGGAAGTTCATATCTGGGTTCAAACTGAAGCCACCCTTACTGTGTTTCCCTTGCGGTAAAGCATGGCTGTGTCCTCAATGAACATAGAGTCAGTTAAAGGAAGAAGTGATTCTTAGATATGTCTTCAGTGATGAACATTATGCTTTTGACAGATGGGATGTAGCTAGTGTTACTATGACTACGTATTTTCCTCATGTATTCTAGTTCCTTCTCTAGGGGCTGATGGATCCAAGGACAGGAGTAATCCCTGGTGATGGAACAATGAGTGACAGTGCAGATGAGGACAGTGACTATGAGGAATTCACCAAATAAATCCTGACTTCTTTTTCTGTCCCACCCAGTTCCATACCCATTCAATCCCAAATGAACACACAAAGACTTATATTAATTTTAAACTTTTTATCCTGTTTCTCAGACTTATTACTATCTAGCACTTACGAGTTAAATTAACCCATATTTCTTGTCTATGTTTAGCCATGTGTCTTAGTATCTTTTCTCAGTAAGGCATTCTTATTTACTTCTTCTGCTTCTGCCTGGTGACTGACTCTCTGCCTTTTAAATTCCCAGAATTTTTCTAGTCTGGTCACCTCACCTAATTAGTAGCTACTGGCCAATCAGAGTTTTATCAAATCAATATGGGTGACAAATATTTATAGTAAAAAAGAGCATCATCTCACAGCATTTTCCCCTTTTCTCTTTAAAAAAACAAAAATCCTGAATCTAATCTTCTTCATTTAGCTTCTTCTCCTGATAACTTGTAACCAACATGCTAAACAAAGACAAACATCCATAATCCATGTTTTGGGAATGTAGGAATAGTTTTCTAGACTACTACTGCTGGTTAGGGGAACTGGAAATCTTATAGGGAACCAAAGAAAATTGAGGATTATGGTCAAGTCCTGACTGGAGTATTCTAAGAGGCTTGATCATATCAACTAGTAACCTTGAATCAGTTCTGTATACAGAACTCATAAGTAACTGCAACAGAGGTGCTCTGAAACTTTGGATCTCCTGGGCCATCTCTTCCTATCAGATATTTTTCAGAGGGTCTTTCTCAATCAATCCTTAATTTTCTTAACCAAGAATGAATCCACAGCCTCTAATTTCCTGTAGAAACAAAAGCAAAACTTCTTCTCCAAAGTAACATATATTTTGACTTAAATGTTGAAGGCAAAGCATTTTCAAACTATATATGTTGGATTAATCCATCAGCATTTATAATTAAATGTCTTAACAGTTGTTGATTCTTCATTAGCAATCAAACATTTTGAGAATTAACCCAATTTGCTAATTAACCCAATTAAAATGGAGCACTAAACTGAACAGAGAATTCTCAATAGAAGAAGTTCAAATGGCCAAAAGACACTTAAGGTCATGCTCAACCTCATTAGCAATCAGGGAAATGCAAATCAAAACAACTTTGAGATACCATCTTACACCTGTCAGAATGGCTAAAATCAAAAACACCAATGATAGCCTTTGCTGGAGAGGTTGTGGAGGAAAGGGTACCCTCATCCATTGCTGGTGGGAATGCAAACTTGTGCAACCACTTTGGAAATCAGTGTGGCGGTTTCTCCAGAAATTCGTAATCAACCTACCCCCAGGACCCAGCAATACCACTCTTGGGAATATACCCAAGAGATGCCTTATCATATGACAAAAGCATTTGTTCAACTGTGTTCATAGCAGCATTATTTGTAATAGCCAGAACCTGGAAATAACCTATATGCCCCTCAATGGAATAATGGATGAAGAAAGTGTGGCATATATACACATTAGAGTACTACTCAGTGGTAAAAAAAGAAAAAAAAAAACAATGACTTCTTGAATTTTTCATGCAAATGGATGAAAATAGAAACCACTATCCTGAGTGAGGTGTCCCAGACCCAAAAAGATGAACATGGGTTGTACTCACTCATAATTGGTTTCTAGCCATAAATAAATGACATTGAGTCTATAATTTGTGATCCTAAAAAAGCTAAATAAGAAGGTGAACCCAAAGAAAAATATATAGCTATTCTCCTGGATATGGGAAGTAGACAAGGTTGCTGAGCAAAATTTGGGATCTTGGGGGTGGGGTGGGAAAGGGGTAAGGGGAAATGGGGAGAGAAAAGTGAGAAGGGAAGGATGAAGGGAACTTGGGGAATTGGGATGGTTGGGATAAAGGAAGGATGGATATGGGAGCAGGAAAGCATATATCTTAATTAAAGGATCCAGCTTAGGGTTGGCAAGAGACCTAAATCTAGAGGGGCTCCCAGGTGCCCAGAAGGATGTCCCCAGTTAGTGCCTTGGGCAGCTGAGGATAAGGAACCTGAAATGGCGCTATCCTATAACCACACTGATGAATATTTTGCATATCACCATAGAACCTTCATCTGGCAATGGATGGAGATAGAGACAGAGACCCACATTTGAGCACTGGAATGAGCTCCCAAGGTCCCAATGAGGAGCAGAAGGAGGGAGAACATGAGCAAGGAAGTCAGGACCATGAGGGGTGCACCCACCCACTGAGACAGAGGGACTGATCTATTGGGAGCTCACCAAGGCCAGCTGGACGGGAACTGAAAAAGCATGGGATAAAACCGGACTCTCTGAACAATAAGGACTTAGGAGAAGCCAAGGACAATGGCACTGGGTTTTGATCCTACTTCCTGTTCTGGCTTTGTGGGAGCCTAGCCAGTTTGGATGCTCACCTTTCTAGACCTAGATGGAGGGGGGAGGACCTTGGACTTTCCACAGTGCAGAGAACCCTGACTGCTCTTAGGGCTGGAGAGGGAGAGGGAAAGGAGTGGGGGGAGTGGGAGAGGAGTGGGAGGATGGGGAGGGAAATGGGAGGCTGGGAAGAGGTGGAAATTTTTTTTCAGTAAAAAAAATGGCTAGAGCTGATGTTTATCTTAATGCAAAAATAAAAAGATGCAGCTTTGGTGGCTGCCCTCATCCCATTTCTCAGGTTTTTGACAGGTTATCTTCATGGTGGAGGGTACTGGCCAGGGCCACATTTATGGCCATAGCTCTGTGGAGTTTCTAGGTCCATACCACCACTAAGAAGCCTAACACCGACTGCTCATAAACATCATTTAAGGGTTTGGTGGCAGAACTTCTTAAAAGAGTTGCAAGATTTGTGCTGCTATCACTGAGTCAGAAATCTCTATTTAAAAAGCCACACCTGTGTTTTCCTTTAGCAAACATAATCTACTGGAGTAAAGATGGTTACCAAGAAGCTGCACTTGACTGTGTTCTCATCCTTTTTTTAAAGCTTTTTCAAGCTTTATGTGGAGATTCATGCTAAGCAATTGGGCACCATTTGTTGACACAAATTTCTGTTTAATCCAAGTCCCAAATAAACAGAAGCTTATATTAATTGTAAATTGTTTGGTCTATTAATGAGACTTATTAGCTAGTTCTTATAACACGAATTCACCCATAAATTTTATCTATGTTTATTCACTTGACTTGGTACCTTTTCTCAGTAATGCATTCTCTTCTTACTCCTGCATTTGCCTAGTGACTGACTCTCTACCAATCCTCTTCCCAGAATTCCCCTATTCTAGTTGTCCTGCTTATACTTCCAGCTGAGCTACTTGCCAATGCACATTTTATTAAGCCAATATGAGGGACAGGCCTTCTCAATGTACACAAGCATTATCCCACAGCACAGCTAGCTGTCCCTGGGACAGGATGACTGGGAACAAGAAGAATCAGCACCATTAGTCACGTACTGTCACAACCTCTGCATTAGAACATATGTGACACGGTGATAACACGGTGGAGAGATCACATCTAGAGTGAGCTCCTTCCTCAAGAACACAGCCTAGTGTGAGAAAAAGCAGTGAAATCCCAGCTCAGGAAGGGATTTAAGTTAAAGAAGGATTTTGGGTTAGCACATGGGAGTCAGCCTTGCATTCATAAGGAAGGAAGTTAGATACTAACTCACTTTGCTTGTTCCATGGTGTGGGTCAGTGGCCGTGGATTCTTGTTATCTGAGTCTGGAATAAGGAAGCACATGGACTGCAGAAACACTGGAAACACATCAGGGTTTGACCCTTCCTTCTCACTGTAGAACTTCTGCAACACACACTCTCATCTTCCCTGTCCTTAAAAGAAACATCTCATCCTCTTTTATGCATGTAATCTATTTTATTCAAATTCACCCTACTTTTCCCAATTTCCTCCTCTCTCATGATCCATGTTTTCTTGAAAAATTAATGTGCTTTTTTCTTTAAATCCACTGACTCCACTTAGATCTCCCTCAATGTTCATGCATGTAGCTTTAGTATTGAAGCAATGATAGGTAGTCCATTAACAACTGAAGCACTGAAGGAAACCTATTCTCCCTCTTCCAGAAGCTAAAAATTTGGAATAATTTTTCATCTAAAGATGAGAATTCAAGACACCATTTCTTGCAATGCTGGATTGTTGTCTAGTGTGAAGCTGTGCATATAGCTACATACGGTATGAGTTCATGAGTGAGACATTCCATGCTGGAATGTCAGTTTGTATGATCCTGTGTATGCAGTTACAAAAGCTGTGGGTTTGTGAGTAAGACATCCCATGCTGGGATGTTGGCTAATGTGGACTTGTGCATGCAGTTATAGCTCCTGTGTGTTCATGAGTGTTGCAGCCCTGCAATGATTGGAAAACACCATCTCACTGACATCATCCCTCAATTCTGCCTCTTAGTGCTCTTTCTAGTTCTCTTCTGCAATTATTCCTAAATCTTGGAAAGTAAAGGAATGGATAAAATGTTACATTTAGACTAAGGACTCCATGGCCTTATCTTCCCTAAATGTAGTCTAGTTTTATGTCTCTCTATAAATCACCACCTCCTAAAATCAGAGTTCTGATTTGGCTGAAGAATGTGATGATACAAAGGCATGAATTTAAGTACTTAAGAAACTGTTTAATACAATGACCATTAACAGAAAAATAGATCTGAATTATCAGGTAGAGCCTATGATCTACTTAGTCATGGATTCCTGGTCCGGTTCTTAGAACCAGAGATAATTTCAAGTTCTTTGTAGTGGGCCTTAGATCCAATTAGAAATATTTGGTTACTATCATAACATTCATGGCACTATTGAGCCAATGTGTATATCTTGTCAGGCTATTTACTATTGTAAGCTATGATTCTTATTTTTTAGACCTAAGGCCAGTGCCAGATATCCTTCATGTTTTCAATCTTGCTTCTTCATGGCTGACTCAAACATGTTTCCTGGTTTTACACTATTCTCATAACTAGAATTTGTTCCAGTCTCCTTAAGCGTATCACTGTATCAAACTGTTGTTGTATGGGGTTCACACCTGCTTCTTGCTCCATACACTCTGCTAATTGCAGAGGAAGCACAAGGTCAGAATACAAGTTTGACCCTCAGCATCTTCTGCCATCTTACCCAAGGTGTCCACACATTCTTTGCATGTTACCATGACTCAGATTCTCATGGCAGTGACAATGTCGTGGGAATAGGTGCATGCTACAAACTATATATCTAAAATAATATTTTGAAGTCATGACAATAAATTTGTTTTTGCTACTAATGCCTCTGCACAGTCTGAGGCTTATCTTTGACTTCAAAGGTGTCTGTTTGTTCTGCTACTTCTGTCCTCATTTATTACTTTCCTAGTATTTTGACCTGGAGTAAGGTATGAATAAATACCTTTCACTTAAATCTTGATTTATTTCAGTCCATGGGGAACACAGATCATTCCAAGGTTCTGGAGGGATTTTCTGCTCTCAAACCATGAAACAGTTTTCTTGACTCAGTAAAGAGATTAGCACTGCTGTAGACAATTATTGGAAGTATCAAAGGAATGATTGTTAGACATTGATTGGGCTAAATTTGGTGTTCCTGGAACATAGTATGAGGGCCTCAGATGTTCACATACGAGGAGCATGGTCCTAAAATACTCTGATGAGAGGGTGGATGTGGGAGAGGTAACAGTCTGTACATCTGCAACTACAGCCACACTGAGTTGCATTTACACATACATTTTCACATCCCAACACAACACACAAACACACACACAAGAGTCACACTTAAGGATATGTTCTCATATCAAATCACCCACAAACACCCACAAAGAGTAACACAGATTTAGTCACAGTCCTATCATACAACCTTTCACAGTCACATACTCATAGGTACACTCACCCACAAGTAATGTCCCAGCACACACAGACAAAGACACACAGTTACACTTACAGATGCAGTCCCACATCTCAACACACTTATACCCACACACAGAGAGACAATCTGTCAGACATAGTCTCACATCACAACACACATACACACACATGCACACACTAACATACACAGACACACACAGGCACACACACACTGACAACAGCCATACTCAGAATTTCTCACATTCACAGTGCAGGGGATGGATTTCTTCCTTTCTTTCAACAGGTCCAATCTGCTTGGCCTGGAATCACTATGTTGCCAGACTGATCTTAAACTTCCAAACATCCTTTTGCCTTTGTCTCCCTAGTTCCTAGATTAAAGGCATGCACAACCATGCCTGACCATTAAACACAGTTTTTAAAAAATGATTTATTAAGTTTATTGAAAATAGTTGATGTTTTAACACAGAATATATTCTGATCACTGTTACCCTTCCTTCTACTCTTCCCAGGCCTCCCCAGGCCCCATTTCATCCAAATAATGACCGGCACACATTTTAGGACCAATTATAAAATATTTAAGGATTGAACTCATGACATTCATTTTCATATATATAAAGAATAGCTTAAAATTCCATAGTTTCTAACACATTTTGCTTTTAAAAAGTAAATAATATTAAAACTTCAAATAAATTAAAACATTATGTAAGGAAATCTAAGGAACTGAGTCACTGGGTTAGGATCTTGAGTTCTTAGCGCCAAGCTCTCCTGATTTATTCTCTGCTTCCAGAATGCAGGTGCAGTGTGAGAAGTTCTGTGTGCTATACCTACCTGTCATGATGGACTGTGCCCCTAACACCTTCAGTCAAATAGACCCTTTGTCTCTGAAGCTGCTTCTTGTTAGGTATATTTTCATAGATTATGAAAACAACCAATTCAACAATAAATGAAGAATACTTGATTTATAAGTAATAGTAGTAATAATATAAAGCCTACCTGGAAATAGGTGATGTTATATTTAATGTCACATGGCTTGCACACTCAGCCACAAAGTGAGGTAATGGGGTCTGGAGCACAAGTTAATAGACATAATCAATGCAGTAAATATTTCATTTTCATTTATCTTCCTCCAAAACTCTGAGAGCACTGAGGAAGAGGAGATGGGAAGTAAGTAAGAGGTGGCGCATGGAAAAGAGTGCTGTGATATTGCATCTTCTGGACATGTGGAGTTATCACAGTCATGAGCTCATAATGACTGCTTTGTATATAATGCAAAAGAATCAGTCAGTGAAAACAGTAGCATAGATAGTGTAGTTGGTTTTCAGACCTTTCTTTGTCCTGAGGAGCGTTCTAAGCAGGTAGTTCTTGGAGAGGTAAAGCCTTTCTCTCTAACATTGGGGTCACTGGTAGGTGTCTTGTGCTGTAGTAGTTAGCTCTGCCCACATGCACATTTGGGTAGCACTCTCTGGGCTATACAAATATATGATGTCCATAGACACTCATATTGGAGAAGATCTGGCTGTGTGGAGGGAAACTACAACGTAGATTTCATTGTTCACACGGAGAGACTATCCAAAATAAAGAGTAGTAAAAACAGAATCTCTGAAAGTTAAAGAAAATAAACCACCAAAATGAAATGCTTAAGAAACTCTCTGTTCCATGTGAAAGCAATGGGTAGACAAGACAACAAGAAAGAATATCGCTGGGGGCTTTTGCACACTTGATTTCATGTTATGCTTCATTGACATTAGATGACTGATGAAAGCACATGAAGAGATTCAAAGCTAAGCACTGGGCCTAGCTATGTGAGTCCTCCTGAAGAAAGGGATAAGAGATTTTACATGCTGGGGTGGTCAAAATCATGATGGAAATACACACAGGAACAGCTGACCTAAGCTATTGAGAGTTCATGGACTCTAGAACAATAGTTAGGGAGACTGCATTGACTGATTAGGTCTTCTGCATCTATTGATAATTGTGTACCTTGTTTGGTCTGAAGGCTCCTAGTAGTGAGATCAGGGCCTGGCCTGGTGCTTACCTGGCTTATGGGAACCCTTCCTGATGCTGCACTACCTTGCCCAGCTCTTTTTTAATTTAATTTTTATTTTTTTACTTATTTTTAATTAAAAATTTCCACCTCCTCCTCTCCTCCCATTTCCCTCTCCTCCCCCCACTTCTCTCCACCTCCCCTCACTCTTCTCCCCCTCCCCCACTCCTTTCTCTCTCACTCTCCCATCCAAAGGGCAGTCAGGGTTCCCTGCCCTGTGGGAAGTCCAAGGTCCTTCCATCCAGGTCTAGGAAGGTGAGCAGCCAAAGGGACTAGGCTCCCACAAAGTGAGTTTGATTCTACCTCAACTAGATATACCATGCTTTGTTCAAACTCATGGGAGGCCTTCCTCTTTCTGAATGGAGACAAAGAAGAAGTGGATGGAGTGGGGGAAGACTGGAGTAAGGGGGAGGGAATATGACAAGAGAACGCCGGGGAAAATGTGTTCAGTATGTAAAATAAATGAAAAACAATGTTAAAGAAAATAAAATTAAAAATGAATAAAACCAGCATGGCTCCTATACACACACAGAGAGAGAGAGAGAGAGAGAGAGAGAGAGAGAGAGAGAGAGAGAGAGAGAGAGAGAGAGAGAGATTGGGGAAGCAGCCCAGAGTAAGTGATGGTGGATAGTTCTTTTGTAGTTTTCAAGGGAACAAAAAAAGAGTGTAAGATATTCAAGGTCACTTCTCTGGTCTCCTAGCTACACAGAAGCAGATGGAATTTATCTGTCCAGTAGGTATGAGAGCATTAGGGCATTTGTATGATCAATGAGCCAGAAGAAGAGGTACAGTTAATAGATTGGTTGATGGCTAGATTT